TGAAACTAATGGGAAGCATTTTATCCCATCTTCTAATACATCCCAAAAAAGAATAGAACATTGACCCTTTTATGGAGTGACGAAATAGTCATAAACTAATTTTAAAGTATGGTTGGTCTGATTCCCTGAATGATGAACAATAGCCTGGCAAAAAGTGTGAGTCTTCCATTTCCAGTTGTGGGTTTCCTGTATAGCCTGGGACAGCACAGCTGTTTTATATGGCGGAGAGGAGAGGCTTTAAACTTTCACAAAAGCCAAAGAAGTGGCTGTTCTCCTACCAGTACATAACAATGAATCATGACTGAAAGGGATTATCAAACCCAGCTGACGTTCCACACAGTACTGTCACATGTGAGCTCAGTAGGGCCAGTATTGATCTCATGTAAATTAATTGTGTGTGTAAAGGGGGGTATACTTTCAATACTTAATGCAAGAAACTACAGAGGACAAACTGCCATGTGTGACATGACATTGTGCACAGATTCAAGATACTGTTGTTCACGGTCACTGAGAGAGAATGACCTATTTCAACTGACGCGTGACTTTTCCCCCCTATTAACCTTACAGCTAGAATAGAGGTGTAAGGAATCCACCTGATTTTCATTTGTATCAACACCATGCCCATCAACAAGGAGGAAGGGAGTCAGGAAAATACATGCTGGTGGTGATAGGCCAATACCCTTTCTATAACTCTTAAGGCAATAGGCAGGCAATGAAGATAAGACAATGAGCGTGATGACATCAAGAAACTAGGTATGACAATCACTTTGAACAGGTTGAGCAAACCCAAATGTGATCCCAGACGACTAATTGATTATGTCCTGAATAAGTAAAGGGATTAGGACACTCAAATGGAGTGGAACACTGCAACCGGATTAATTTAGTAAACAAAATGGGCTCAGAGGTATAAGTGGGCTAAACAGTAAATATGTGGTATTTTGGAAATGCAGGACTCAAAAATGTCAGTCAGCAATCATGTAGTTCATTACAGGTTTATTTTCCATGCCTCTTGGAATGACTGCCTGGTGATATTATAAATATTCTAAATTATTGTTCACACCTTTTGTCTCATTTTCTCAAATTGCACATTCAAGCGTTTATTTTAATGTGCCCGCAGAGTGAATATTTCACTGTGAGGTCCACTCAATTATCTGCTGTTAGAGTTTCAGCACATTTTAATAATGGCTGTTAAATTACCTTTATCCAAGGAGCAGTAAGAGACATTATGGGATAATGACTTGGAGAGGGAGGTCATCTTCAGAGCTTAGGTACAGTGAGGGAAAAAAGTATTTGATCCCCTGCTGATTTTGTACGTTTGCCCACTGACAAAGAAATGATCAGTCTATAATTTTAATGGTAGGTTTATTTGAACAGTGAGAGACAGAATAACAACAAAAAAATCCAGAAAAACACATGTCAAAAAGGTTATAAATTGATTTGCATTTAAATGAGGGAAATAAGTATTTGACCCCCTCTCAATCAGAAAGATTTCTGGCTCCCAGGTGTCTTTTATACAGGTAACGAGCTGAGATTAGGAGCACACTCTTAAAGGGAGTGCTCCTAATCTCAGTTTGTTACCTGTATAAAAGACACCTGTCCACAGAAGCAATCAATCAATCAGATTCCAAACTCTCCACCATGGCCAAGACCAAAGAGCTCTCCAAGGATGTCAGGGACAAGATTGTAGACCTACACAAGGCTGGAATGGGCTACAAGACCATCGCCAAGCAGCTTGGTGAGAAGGTGACAACAGTTGGTGCGATTATTCACAAATGGAAGAAACACAAAAGACTGTCAATCTCCTTCAGCCTGGGGCTCCATGCAAGATCTCACCTCGTGGAGTTGCAATGATCATGAGAACGGTGAGGAATCAGCCCAGAACAACAAGGGAGGATCTTCTCAATGATCTCAAGGCAGCTGGGACCATAGTCACCAAGAAAACAATTGGTAACACACTACGCCGTGAAGGACTGAAATCCTGCAGCGCCCGCAAGGTCCCCCTGCTCAAGAAAGCACATATACAGGCCCGTCTGAAGTTTGCCAATGAACATCTGAATGATTCAGAGGAGAACTGGGTGAAAGTGTTGTGGTCAAATGAGACCAAAATCGAGCTCTTTGGCATCAACTCGCCGTGTTTGGAGGAGGAAGAATGCTGCCTATGACCCCAAGAACACCATCCCCACCGTCAAACATGGAGGTGGAAACATTATGCTTTGGGGGTGTTTTTCTGCTAAGGGGACAGGACAACTTCACCGCATCAAAGGGACGATGGACGGGGCCATGTACCGTCAAATCTTGGGTGAGAACCTCCTTCACTCAGCCAGGGCATTGAAAATGGGTCGTGGATGGGTATTCCAGCATGACAATGACCCAAAACACACGGCCAAGGCAACAAAGGAGTGGCTCAAGAAGAAGCACATTAAGGTCCTGGAGTGGCCTAGCCAGTCTCCAGACCTTAATCCCATAGAAAATCTGTGGAGGGAGCTGAAGGTTCGAGTTGCCAAACGTCAGCCTCGAAACCTTAATGACTTGGAGAAGATCTGCAAAGAGGAGTGGGACAAAATCCCTCCTGAGATGTGTGCAAACCTGGTGGCCAACTACAAGAAACATCTGACCTCTGTGATTGCCAACAAAGGTTTTGCCACCAAGTACTAAATCATGTTTTGCAGAGGGGTCAAATACTTATTTCCCTCATTAAAATGCAAATCAATTTATAACATTGTTGACATGCATTTTTCTGGATTTTTGTTGTTGTTATTCTCTCTCATTGTTCAAATAAACCTACCATTAAAATTATAGACTGATCATGTCTTTGTCAGTGGGCAAACGTACAAAATCAGCAGGGGATCAAATACTTTTTTCCCCTCACTGTAAATAAACAGAGCAAATTAGTTAAATATACTGAACAAAAATATAAAACGCAACATGTAAAGTGTTAGTCCCATGTTTCATTAGCTGAAATAAAAGATCCCAGAAATGTTCCATACGCACAAAAAGCTTATTTCTCTCAAATTCTGTGCACAAATTTGTTTACATCCCTGTTCATGAGTATTTGCCCTTTGCCAAGATAATCCATCCACCTAACAGGTGTGGCATATCAAGAAGCCGATTAAACGGCATGATCATTACACATGTGCACCTTGTGCTGGGGACAATAAAAGGCCACTCTAAAATGTGCAGTTTTGTCACAGAACACAATGCCACAGAGGTCTCCAGTTTTGAGGGAGCGTGCAATTGGCATGCTAACTGCAGGAATGTCCACCAGAGCTGTTGCCAGATAATTTGATGTTCATTTCTCTACCATAAGCCACCTCCAACGTCGTTTTAGAGATTTTGGCAGTACGTCCAACAGGCCTCACAACCGCAGACCGCATGTAACCACACCAGCCCAGGACCTCCACGTCCGGCTTCAGATAAAACTGAGGAGTATTTCTGTCTGTAATGAAGCCCTTTTGTGGGGGAAAAACTCAATTCGGATTGGTTGGGCCTGGCTCCCAAGTGGGTGGGCCTATGCCCTCCCAGGCCCACCCATGGCTGTGCCCCTGCCCAGTCATGTGAAATCCATAGATTAGGGCCTAATGAATTGATTTCAATCGACTGATTTCCTTATATGAACTGTAACTCAGTAAAATCGTTGAAATTGTTGCATATTTCGTTTATATTTTTGTTCAGTATACATTTGAAGTGGAGACAGCAATCGCGCGTTGTGGATATATCTATTCAAATAACCCATCAACTTAGACTGTTGTGGCTAGCTAGCTATGGTGTGGAGCACTGGCATTCTTAATTATTTCCTAGTTCAACATCCTTATGGAAATGTATAAAATAATGAACAATGACCTAAACACTTTAATTGATTTGTTTTAATAAAGGTCAAATGAGTCTCTCATTTACAGAAAGTACACATCGACTACAAAAACGTTAAAAAAAAACAAGGGAGTTTAAATGAAAAATCAAGAAATATTACAAACACAGAAAACTCACTCAGGAACGTTTGCATATTTGAGGATGGACTGATCTACTGCTCAGTCAAAGTTGACAGCAAACAAAATTACAAGTTTAGTGTTAAGGTAAGGGAAGCGCTTTCAACTAAAGTGACATTACCGTACCCTTGGAATTAGTTCTCTATGCGGCGGTTTCCTGGACACAGATTAAGCGTAGTCCTAGAATAAAAAGCATGCACAATGAAGAGTCTCCGTTAAAATCATTTTTTTGTCCAGGACTAGGCTTAATCTATGTCTGGGAAACTGGCCCCAAACATCCCTCTCTTACTGCTCCCTCCCCAAGAGGCCATCATCACACAAAGTAAACATGAACAAGTCTTCCTCTTGCTTGGACAGTTTTGATTGTATAGCTCTGTGTACTAAAGCAGACAGCATCAGTACAAACAGGTCACCAAGCATTAATCAATCACTTTAAAACATTTATTTAAATTGTGTTGATGCAGAAAGCACAGTCTTTTCACCCGAGAAAAGGAGATAAATAGATACTGAATTGAAAACACAGTAAAGGGAAGATCAATAATGTCCCCTGATAATAATGGATTATATCTACTGTCTATTGAAGCATGTGTCTATAAATTAAGATTAATGAGAGAAACTGTGTAGTCTTAAAGGATTATGAACTGCAAACTCTGAGCATGTCCCCAAAACATACATGCAAACAGAGGGGATATGTGTGTTACACAGAAGTGTTATCAAAACACAGTCAGTTAGTTGCTAGTGTAAACTAATAAGGTGTATACTGTGCTAATAGGGGAAGGATGCACTGTTTTAATATACAGGCTCAGGAAGTCTTTAGTGAGCACTTCACTCTAGTTATGGACAGCCATGTTGGAAGCTCCACAGCAGGAGTCCAATATGGAGACACGTTGTTTACAGTGATGTTGAAGGCTTGGGACAGAAATGCTTTCTTCAGACAGATGCCATAGACTAGAGGCTAATGGTCTCAGTTCTTCTGGGCCAAATCAGCGATACAGTGAAACCAGGGGACAATGGGTCTCATTCTTTGCCAGTGGTCAGTAAGTTGAGGGCCTTCTGCAGATTCTGCACCGCCGTGCCCACGTCTTCATACTGCAAGGCGCTGCCAGCGTACTTGCAGTACTTCTGAGCCCTGGTGTAGTCCTCTGGTGTGAGGCGCACGTCAACTGCTGAGACAGAGAATTAAGTGTTCCTTTGAGATAAGTGTAATTATTGAAAATGAAAGTTAAATTCTTAATGTGATCCCTTAATTAAGAGAGATTGTGTCTGAGTAACACAGGCCACCCCTGTTACACTCTCACTGACCCACCATATTAGGTCATCAACTGTCTGAGTCAACACCAGCCTGACACAGCTCTCTGATTTATCCCTTAACTCAAAACATATTCCACAAATCCAACCACCCTATGCAATATCACCAGAATTTGAGACGCTGGCCATAAGTCCATTGACTATTTTTCAATAGAAGACACTATTTATAACTCTTAAAGAACCATGTCGGTCTAGACCAAAGCATGTGCCCAATTTGACTTGAGCGTGGAGCGTGTTGCCCAAAGGCTGGAGTGTCGGCCTTCTCGCCCGCTCCAATTTAAGTAGCGGGCACTTCACCAGCTCAGGGCATTTCTGGCCCTGCATGCATTTGTAGGATACTTGTGTGCTGCTATAGCCTCTTGCTTTAGCTACTGTCATGGAGTTTGCTAAATATTTTCATAAACAAACTGTTAAAATACACAGGTGCAAAATCAAGGTGAATTACAAAAATGTGGACCAATGGTAGGTCCAGATAGTCACTAAAATAGATGGGTTTTGGTTAATATGGTGATTTTAATTAATGTTTTTTTTCCCTGTGAGCGAGGAGCGGTTTTTAGTGAAGTGGTTGGAAAGGACATGGAGCACAGCTCCGTGAGCTCAACTCCATTCACATACTCTGGTCTAGACACATATGCTAAGCCTTTTTAATTTCCTCTGAATTCCAAATGGTTTAAAACACATTTGTGGTAACATGAACATAACATAAACATTGAATGGTGTGATTCAAAATTATTGTTTTTTGTGTATATTTAAATGAATGTTAATGCCTATTTATTAGTGTGGACATTGAATAAAAACATGACGTTTTGCAGCTGTTTAAAAATAGAGAGGAAAACCTGACGTAACAAAATCTGTACGAAAATAATATAACATGATTCATGATAATCGCTTACCTTTTCACTCCTCAACCACAGTGAGTGATATACTGAAATATGGTCATGGACTCAATTTCAAGAATCTAGCATCGTCTACCAGTGACTGTCCCATTAAAAAAAAAAAGGAGACATTACAGGCAGAACGTACTCATGCATTAGCCGCATGGCAAGCGATGTTTTTGTGGCTTGCCACAAGAAGCTCCACCAGCCATTTAAATTATAGGGTAAGGCTGAGGTTGGGTAGATTCTGAAAACTTGCGTTAAGTCAAGGCAGATGCTGGTGGGCAAAGCTGGTGGGCATTTTGTTCATTTTATAACCTTTGCCCTTCAGAATATACCACTACGAAAACGCAGTTCCATCTGAGGAAAGATTTGCACAGCTCTGAGGGGTGGTTACTACACTTAATTATTGGGGGCAGAATAAATGGTCTGGTCAAAGACCATCACTACATACTCAACTGTTATTAAAACGTCTTCTAACGCTGTCTCAAATAGAGAAAGAGAATGTCAATATACAGTACTTAAAAAGTTTATTCTTATCTGAGAAGCATCCAGCTGCAGATAATACGTGCTGACACCGCATGGTCTGAGAACCTCAACGCGCATGCGCGTGCATCTCAGATGGTATTTTCGCGTCTCAAATGGTATGTGCGCGCACAACCTGTAGACATTTGTTGGTCTTGTGTATCGCTTGAGTCAGTAGCTTTGTTCCAGGGCGTTAGTGTGCTACGCACATACCAGTCGGCGCACTAGCTCTGGTGCAGGGCGTTAACCACGGTTGCTTGTGCAGCTAGCTAGTATGCGCTAGCTAGCTGACAGCTAGAACACACTAGCTAGTACCTAGATTTTAAATCTAAATGTAATTTCACCACCCGTGCTGTTGGTGGCGGTAACGCACCATTCTGTCTCATCTCGTATGTCTTACATCGTCTGTGGCGTGAGAAGGTATCTGCTGGAGCCAGACCCTATTGTCTTATTTTGCTTGGCTTTGAAAGGTTAGAGTCCTAGCTTAGAAGTTGAATCTACAGAAACTCTAAATCAACCATTTTCAATAGGATTAGATCAGGCCAGATTATGGGTGATCTGCTTTTTGTAAATTATATTATACTGGACACTTTTATTCTATACACTTCAAGCAGAGAAAATGTTTCATTTGCCTCAGTGTTTTTGGTAATGTTCCCCCCATACATACATCCTGCAACACTATTAAACTGGACTCTGCTGAGTAAGCCATGTAATTATCACCTCTCATGCCAACCCAATGCTGTGTATTCTGATCTCTATTCATTAACATTTATTAAGGCTACATTGCCATGACACCGCAATTGTTCATGTAGTCATTTTCTTTTCATCAGCCACAGACTGTGATTATTTGGGTTTGTCTGTGGTCGTATTTTTCCCACCAGTGCTGGAAACCGAGAGCCCACAGTCTGTTTTCCATAAACCGTTTTATGAGGAGACCTGCCAGTCTCCCTTCTCCTCCTCCCCCCCGTCTCCTCACAGCCAAGAGGGGGGACATCTCATCCTGGCAACTTCAGATGAGCTGCAGGGGCTTCAGGCTGTAAAAACTCAGCAGTCAGGGTCTGTGGGACAGCAGGTGTGGCGTGGTGGTTTTGGGGTGTGTGTGAGGTGAGCCCCAGGGAAGGGGGTACTATGCCGTCCCTGTCCTTACTCCTTACCTTCCTGAGTGGCACTCAGCAGTGAGGGGTCGACCGCCGGAATGCTTCGGGGAACAGGCACTGGTTTAATTGGCTCTCCTGTAAACAACACAGGGGAACAGGGCAGAGTTATTCCAGTCCACCTCTCTCTAGTCCACCCAGAACCTCTAGAGTCCAGGAAAAACCACACAGGGCACTTTCAACTTCTGCTACGCCACAACCAAGAAATGTGTTGGCTAATGCAGGGATATGAATTTATGATGTATAAAGAAGAGAAGTGGTTTGAATGCAGTTAGAGAGCAGAGAGCTGCTCAGGCCTCAGTACATTCAAATTCCAAAAGAGTTTCTCACTCGAGCCAAATGGATGATTTACTGCTAAACTATAATGAAAAAAAGGTCAGATTTGATGTAATCTGGAGCAATGTTAATTTTGCTCCTCAATTTATAGACTCCCCAAAGAAGCTGCATTGAGAGGTTCCAGATACATGGGTACAAAAAAACAAGGGAGGCCACAGGGGAAATCTGTGCAGTTATATTTCATGTGTTTGTTTTGCAGGTTCTGGGGTCTGCAGTGTGCCGCCCCTGATTCAATTAGCACCAGAGAACCTCAGGGGTCACTGAGTGGAGATGAGTCACTGAAACTCTGATATGATGCTTTTTCCCAGAGGCCCAGGGCCTGCCTATGTCATCTGTGATTAGCCCACTGGCTCCCAGGCACAGAGGACACAGGCCTCCGGGGAAAAGCATCCCATCAGAGCTTCAGAGTGGACCCTACTCTCACTGACCCCCTGCCCTCACCCCTGGCTTTGCTTTGGCTTTGATCTTTAAAGGTAGAGAAAACAGGAAACCTCGCAGTGTGAAGCCAGGCAGGCCCAGACTAGGACAGACCTCTGGCACCACAGCCTGCCAAGCCTGAGTCAATAAGGAATACATTTTGACTGTCCATCTTACATCAACAACAACTTTAATGTGCCTGTGACATTAACAATAACCACTAGAGAATTAATTAACAAACATATCTAGTTGGTCATTATCTGGTGGGGGTGTTACAAATGACAGTGTTGGCTGCTTTGTGTGAGGTAACTGTTTTCTGTGTGACACAACACCCAAGTCAGCCACACAGAAAGCAGTCATTAGGGTTCATTTACACAATACCGTCTCTCCGCTCACAAAGACCTGCCAAGGAAAAATGATTAGGCCCTTTTTCTATGCTTGTCGACCATGCCAAAATATTCAAGACGGGTATAATGGCAAAGTTTGTCCCATGGGCTTGAGCTAAACTGTTCTCAAGTTATGCCAGTGGATAAAATGTGTCTCAACTTCAATTCAAGAAAACCAGTCTATTATACATCAAGTTTGTGAAAACGTTCCCAATGGAATTAGTCAAATTAGCTGTTGGTTGCTGATCAGGATTGTAATGACAGAGTAAGACTGCAGAGATGAATTCATCAAGAGTCCATATGGGTCCTATAGATTCTAATGGTATTGTATCATTTCCTGAGGCTCTGCTGAGTGACCAGGATGACAGGGTGGTGTGTAGAGGTCCCATACTACACCTGCAGGTGTGTTGGCTGGACAGTGGGCTCCAGGAGGGATGTGGATGTTGTTGTAGTTGGTGGGGGGATAGGGGGGACCCCCCATGGACCCTGGCCCCTGAGGGTAGGGGGGACCCCCCATGGACCCTGGCCCCTGGTCTGGATCCCCAAAGCCAGGCTGGGAATGGGGTGGAGACTGGGGCTGAGCAGGCTGGGAGGACTGGTACGACGGTCCCCCTCCACCCTCAGCACCATACTCCTCATCTGGGGAGACAGGAAGAGAAAAGAAGACGGAGGATTTTAAGATGTGTAGTTTGTAGTCCCTCAGACTTTTGTCAGGGAACTCATATTGTAGATTTACCCGATTTTTAAAAACAGACACAATATCCTGCCCCCATACCAAGTCGGACATCTGATAAGGCAGAACTTATGCAAGACTGAGTGTTAACTACTGATGAGGTATACATCTATAAACATTGCAATAAAATCTATTTCGGCGGATGAACATGCTGGTAGACTACCCACTGAGATATATCATTACCTTGCTGTGGCAACAATATTAGAGGCTGACACAATATGGCTGGGAACAATAACAATTCAAGCTAGGACAGCAGAGTCCCTGCCCGTCTTCCGAAAACATCTGAAGCCCTACCTCTTCAAAGAGCATCTTAAATAATCCCACAGCAAAACAAATACAAAAATTGTGAACTAAAACTCGCACTTGACTTTTTTTCCCCCTTTACTAGCTCTGACTTTGCTGATAGCAACTTTATTAAGGAAACATTTACTTACTATGACTGTGATATGTGGTTGTCCCACCTAGTTGTCTTAAGATGAATGCACTAAGTGTAAATCGCTCTGGATAAGAGCATCTGCTAAATGACACAAATGCAAATGTCTAAATACGTGTTATACTTCTGTCAGGCTATAAACACTTTTCAAAGCCCAACAGACTGCTACACTTTATCTTAGTAAATCCCTTTCAAACATCTCCCACATTATCTTTCAATCATGTGAATTTTACTTCTAAAGCGTCAACTCGCAATATGACAATCTAATCGAAACCATGGTTTAGTTCATTTTTCATTGAGGAGTCGGACCGTGGGTATGCTTTAAGTTTAAACTACGTGCACCACCAGGTCCCAGACCAGCCATCCTCTCCTCACACTTTCTTGTGCAACAGGAGGAATGACTCACCAAGGGGCCACTCTTTTCCTTCATGCACCCACTGATAGAAAGGAATGTTACAGGAAACCCTACAGCTATGGAAGTGGATTTGAGCTTCTTGACACGGATTGGCTGAGATGAATTAAATGGCCACTTTGGGGCAATGTGCCGAGTGCTGACATACTGCTCCAACGGAACGATGTCCATCCAGTACAGTATATAGGAACACTAAGTTGTGGACAAACATACCAAGCATTAGCCTAAGTTTTGTTATGAAAAGATGAAGCCTAAGATTAAAATACAAAGTACTTGATTAGTGATGTATAGCAGACTAAACATATTTTACTTTAAAAGACTATTCAGACACATCAAAAAGTGTCAAGTGTTTTGTGTGTAGTGAAACTTAAATGGGAAAAAGTTACTCTGAAAAAGTTACTCGGTCTTTGAGCTGCGATATGCACCATATGTTTATATACCACAGTGAGCCAATTCCCAGAAGAAAAAGCTTAAATCCAGTAATTCTGAGACAGAAAAAGGAGGAAATTCCATTTAATGGGTATGGCACCTATTCTTTAGACTCAGTCAAAGTAATACTATGTTCAAAACTTATTTTGGAATGTCCAGATTGAATTTAAAGAAAATATTATATTACACCCAAACATACACTATATATACAAAAGTATGTGGACACCCCTTAGTGGATTCGGATATTTCAGCCAAACCCATTGTGGACAGGTGTATAAAATCGAGCATACAGCCATGCAATCTCCATAGACAAACATTGGCAGTAGAATGGCCTTACTGAAGAGCTCAGTGACTTTCAACGTGGCACTGTCATAGGATGCCACCTTTCCAACAAGTCAGTTCGTCAAATTTCTGCCCTGCTAGAGCTGCCCCGGTCAACTGGAAGTGCTGTTATTGTGAAGTGGAAACGTATAGGAGCAGGAACGGCTCATAAGCGAAGAGGTAGGCCTCACAAGCTCACAGAACGGAACCACTGAGTGCTGAAGCGCGTAAAAATCGTCTGTCTGGCCTGCAGAGCCCTGACCTCAACCCCATAGAACACCTTTGGATGAATTAGAATGCAGACTGTGAGCCAGGCCTAATCGCCCAACATCAGTGCCCGACCTCACTAATGCTCGTGGCTGAATGGAAGCAAGTCCCCGCAGCAATGTTCCAAAATCTAGTGGAAAGCCTTCCCAGAAGAGTGGAGGCCGTTATAGCAGCAAATGGGGGACCAACTCCATTTTAATGCCCATGATTTTGGACGCTGGCACTTTTCTTAAATAATTCCCTGTTTCTTCTAAAATAAGTTGAAATTGAAAAACGTTTGTTCTCCACACCTTGTCATTTGATTTTCAACATTGCAGAACCGATTTTATGTATTTATTTTAACGTAGAAAAAATGACAAATTATTGGCACCCTGGAGCTAGTACTTGGGTTGCATAGCTTTTGGCCAAGATAACGGCCAACAAATGTTTCTTGCAGCCATCAATGAGCTTGCTGCACCTTTCTACTACCTATTTGTCCCACTCTTTAGCAGCAAACTGCTCTAATTCTTCAGTGTTTGAGGGTTGCCCTCTACCAACTGCTATTCTCAGCTCTCGCCATAGGTTTTGGATGTGATTCAGGTCAGGACTCTTCGCTGGACACTCAAATCAAATCACATTTTATTTGTCACATACACGTGTTTAGCAGATGTTATTGAGGGTGTAGCGAAATGCTTGTGCTTCTAGCTCCGACAGAGCAGTAATTTCTAACAAGTAATATCTAACAATTTCACAACATATACAGTGGGGAAAAAAAGTATTTAGTCAGCCACCAATTGTGCAAGTTCTCCCACTTAAAAAGATGAGAGAGGCCTGTAATTTTCATCATAGGTACACCTCAACTATGACAGACAAATTGAGAAAAAGAAATCCAGAAAATCACATTGTAGGATTTTTTATGAATTTATTTGCAAATTATGGTGGAAAATAAGTATTTGGTCACCTACAAACAAGCAAGATTTCAGGCTCTCACAGACCTGTAACTTCTTCTTTAAGAGGCTCCTCTGTCCTCCACTCGTTACCTGTATTAATGGCACCTGTTTGAACTTGTTATCAGTATAAAAGGCACCTGTCCACAACCTCAAACAGTCACACTCCAAACTCCACTATGGCCAAGACCAAAGAGCTGTCAAAGGACACCAGAAACAAAATTGTAGACCTGCACCAGGCTGGGAAGACTGAATCTGCAATAGGTAAGCAGCTTGGTTTGAAGAAATCAACTGTGGGAGCAATTATTAGGAAATGGAAGACATACAAGACCACTGATAATCTCCCTCGATCTGGGGCTCCACGCAAGATCTCACCCCGTGGGGTCAAAATGATCACAAGAACGGTGAGCAAAAATCCCAGAACCACACGGGGGGACCTAGTGAATGACCTGCAGAGAGCTGGGACCAAAGTAACAAAGCCTACCATCAGTAACACACTACGCCGCCAGGGACTCAAATCCTGCAGTGCAAGACGTGTCCCCCTGCTTAAGCCAGTACATGTCCACGCCCGTCTGAAGTTTGCTAGAGTGCATTTGGATGATCCAGAAGAGGATTGGGAGAATGTCATATGAAACCAAAATAGAACTTTTTGGTAAAAACTCAACTCGTCGTGTTTGGAGGACAAATAATGCTGAGTTGCATCCAAAGAACACCATACCTACTGTGAAGCATGGGGGTGGAAACATCATGCTTTGGGGCTGTTTTTCTGCAAAGGGACCAGGACGACTGATCCGTGTAAAGGAAAGAATGAATGGGGCCATGTATCGTGAGATTTTGAGTGAAAACCTCCTTCCGTCAGCAAGGGCATTGAAGATGAAACGTGGCTGGTCTTTCAGCATGACAATGATCCCAAACACACTGCCCGGGCAACGAAGGAGTGGCTTCGTACGAAGCATTTCAAGGTCCTGGAGTGGCCTAGCCAGTCTCCAGATCTCAACCCCATAGAAAATCTTTGGAGGGAGTTGAAAGTCTGTGTTGCCCAGCGACAGCCCCAAAACATCACTGCTCTAGAGGAGATCTGCATGGAAGAATGGGCCAAAATACCAGCAACAGTGTGTGACAACCTTGTGAAGACTTACAGAAAACGTTTGACCTGTGTCATTGCCAACAAAGGGTATATAACAAAGTATTGAGAAACTTTTGTTATTGACCAAATACTTATTTTCCACCATAATTTGCAAATAAATTCATAAAAAATCCTACAATGTGATTTTCTGGATTTTTGTTCCTCATTTTGTCTGTCCTAGTTGACTTGTTCCTATGATGAAAATTACAGGCCTCTCTCATCTTTTTAAGTGGGAGAACTTGCACAATTGGTGGCTGACTAAATACTTTTTCCCCCCACTGTACCCAATACACACAAATCTAAGTAAGGAATGGAATTTAAGAATATATACATATATGGACAAGCAATAACAGAGCGGCATGGACTAAGATACAGTAGAATATTATAGAATACAGTATATACATATGAGATGAGTTATGCAAGATATGTAAACGTTATTAAAGTGACAAGTGTTCAATTTCTTAAAGTGGCCAGTGATTTCAATAGGCAGCAGCAGCCTCTAATGTGCTAGTGATGGCTATTTAACAGTCTGATGGCCTTGAGATAGAAGCTGTTTTTCATTCTCTCTGTCCCAGGTTTGATGCACCTGTACTGACCTCGACTTCTGGATGATAGCGGGGCAAACAGGCAGTGGCTCGGGTGGTTGATGTCCTTGATGATCTTTTTGGCCTTCCTGTGACATCGGGTGCTGTAGGTGTCCTGGAGGGCGGGTAGTTTGCCCCCGGTAATGCGTTTGGCAGACCGCACCACCCTCTGGAGAGCCCTGCGGTTGCCGGCGGTGGAGTTGCCGTACCAGGCGGTGATACAGCCCGACAGGATGCTCTGAATTGTGCATCTGTAAAAGTTTTAGGGTTTTAGGTGCCAAGCCAAATTTCTTCAGCCTCCTGAGGTTGAAGAGCCTCTGTTACGTGTTCTTCACCACACTGTCTGTGTGGGTGGACCATTTCAGTTTGTTAGTGATGTGTACGCCAAGGAACTTGAAGCTTTCTACCTTCTCCACTGCGGTCCCGTCGATGTGGATAGGGGGGTGCACCCTCTGCTGTTTCCTGATCATCTCCTTTGTTTTGTTGACATTGAGTGAGAGGTTATTTTCCTGGAACCACACTCCCAGAGCCCTCACCTCCTCCCTGTAGGCTATCTCGTCATTGTTGGTAATCAAGCCTACTATTGTTGTGCCGTCTGCAAACTTGATGATTGAGTTGGAGGCGTGCTTGGCCACGCAGTCATGGGTGAACAGGGAGTACAGGAGGGGGCTGAGCATGCACCCTTGTGGGGCCCCAGTGTTGAGGATCAGCGAAGGGGAGATGTTGTTTCCTACCTTCACAACCTGGGGGCAGCCCGTCAGGAAGTCCAGGACCCAGTTGCACAGGGCGGGGTTCAGACCCAGGGCCTCAAGCTTAATGATGAGCTTGGAGGGTACTATGGTGTTGAATGCTGAGCTATAGTCAATGAACAGCATTCTTACATAGGTATTCCTCTTGTCCAGATTGGATATGGCAGTGTGCAGTGTGATGGCGATTGCATCGTCTGTGGATCTATTGGGGCAGTAAGCAAATTGAAGTGGGTCTAGGGTGACAGGTAAGGTAGAGGTGATATGATCCTTGACTAGTCTCTCAAAGCACTTCATGATGACAGAGGTGAGTGCTACGGACCGATAGTCATTTAGTTCAGTTACCTTTGCTTTCTTGGGTACAGGAACAATGGTGGCCATCTTGAAGCATGTGGGGAGAGCAGACTGGGATAGGGAGAGATTGAATATGTCCGTAAACACACCAGCCAGCAGGTCTGCGCATGCTCAGAGGATGCGGCTAGGGATGAACAATTCCAGGGTGCTTTTTATGTGTGTTTGGGGTGGTTGTCCTTCTGGAAGATCCACAACCTTCAACACAGACACAGTTTTTGGAGACTGGATTGAACATTGCACTCCAAAAGACCTTGATAATCTGCTGACTTCATGATGTCTTGCACATAGACAGGGGCGGTCTTAGTGATTTGGAGGCCCCAGAAGGAGGCCAGTCTGAGCACCCCCCCTGCGCCCCTCCTATGTTTTTTTGAATGGGTTTTATAGTAAACTTAAAAAATGTATTACCTTTTAATGTGCCATGAATAAATAAATCAATATTTTTATGCCCAGCTCATGACGCCCCTTGATGATGTGAGGCCTGAGACAATTGCCTCTTCTGCCTAATGTTAAGTCCGCCAGTGAACATAGAAATAGAATGAATAGAAAGGGTGTCTCCATTCAAGTCAATGATGGCATAATGGGTGGACTGGCAGCCATTGAGTGCACCCATGAGTTTACCAGTCAAATGTCCAGGGTTAGAGCCTTCAAACCCGTTCTATTCGTTCTAGTTCAAGGCCGCCAGTCCCAGAGGCAACAAAGCAACCCCACAGCATTATCTAACCTCCCCCATGTTCGACTTTAGGTAGGGTGTTCGGTTCAGTTGGTCGTTGGTAAACATAGGAAAACCCCACTGCTGAACGAGACACAAGAAAGCCTGGTTGCAACATTTACCTGGAGCTAACTCTGCAAATAGCACTGCTAGTCAATCGATCAATAATATAATAATACTCTTAGCAAACATTTCTTTAATTTAAGATTTGTAGAAACTGTTGTGAAATATCACAGCACAGTTGAAAAATATATGGCAAATAGAAATCAAAACTGGATGGTGTTCAGAGAGAGATGGGAGGGTGTTGAGTGGAGCTGAAGGGTGAGACAAAAAAAGAACAAGATAACTCATGTAAAATATACTGTGTCTGTAAAATGTATATACAATGTATTTGGAAAGTATTCAGAACCCTTGACCTTTTCCACATTTTGTTACGTTACAGCCTTATTCGAAAATTGATTACATAATTTTTTTCCCTCATCAATCTACACACAAAACTACATAATGACAAAGCAAAAACAGGTTTTTAGACATTTTTGCAAAGTAAATAAAAAAAATAAAAAAATAAAACGGAAATATCACATTTACATTAGTATTTAGACCCTTTACTCAGTAGTAGTCTTTGTTGAAGCACCTTTGGCAGCGATTACAGCCTTGAGTCTTCTTGGGTATGACGCTACAAGCTTGGCACACCTGTTTTTGGGGAGTTCCTCCCATTCTGGGCTGTGGCTGGGCCACTCAAGGACATTCAGAGACTTGTCCCGAAGCCACTCCTGCGTTGTCTTGGCTGTGTGCTTAGGGTCATTGTCCTGTTGGAAGGTGAACATTCGCCCCAGTCTGAGGTCCTGAGCGCTCTGGAGCAGGTTTTCATCAAGGATCTCTGTACTTTGCTCTGTTAATCTTTTCCTCGATCCTGACTAGTCTCCCAGTCCCTGCCAACTAAAAACATCCCCATAGCATGATGCTGCCACCACCATGCTTCACCATAGGGATGATGCCAGGTTTCCTCCACACGTGACGCTTGGCATTCAGGCCAAAATGTTCAATCTTGGTTTCATCAGATCAGAGAATCTTCAATCTTTCAATGTTCTTGAAATTTTCCGTATTGACTGACCTTCATGTTTTAAAGTAATGAGGGACTGTCATTTCTCTTTGCTTATTTGAGCTGTTCTTGCCATAATATGGACTTGGTATTTTACTAAATAGGGCTATCTTCTGTATACCTTGTCACAATACAACTGATTGGCTCAAACGCATAAAGACGGAAATTGAAATGCATTCCAGGTGACTACCTCAAGAAGCTGGATGAGAGAATGCCAAGAGTGTGCAAAGCTGTCATCAAGGGAAAGGGTGGCTATTTTTTTGGTTACTACATGATTCCATATATGTTATTTCATAGTTTTGATGTCTTCACTATTATTCAACAATGTACATGAGTAGGTGTGGCCAAACATTTGACTGGTACTGTATGTAAAGACAAGATTAAATCTAAAATAGTGTAATGAGTGACAATATTAGCCTATCACTTGTGAATGATGCCCAGCTTAAGTCAAGAAACAGCGCATGCTTTTTTTGGCGACTTTTTCAAATCATAGTCGCACACCTCATTTAGCCTAGCCGATAGGCCTATATGTTTTGATAAGGTTTGTATCACAACTAAAGCGGACAAATAACTTATTAAAATGAAGCACAATCCGCTTTACAATGGGTGTAGAGCCTAACTGGCATACATACAGTGGGGAAAAAAAGTATTTAGTCAGCCACCAATTGTGCAAGTTCTCCCACTTAAAAAGATGAGAGAGGCCTGTAATTTTCATCATAGGTACACGTTAACTATGACAGACAAAATGAGAAAAGAAAATCCAGAAAATCACATTGTAGGATTTTTTATGAATTTATTTGCAAATTATGGTGGAAAATAAGTATTTGGTCAATAACAAAAGTTTCTCAATACTTTGTTATATACCCTTTGTTGGCAATGACACAGGTCAAACGTTTTCTGTAAGTCTTCACAAGGTTTTCACACACTGTTGCTGGTATTTCGGCCCATTCCTCCATGCAGATCTCCTCTAGAGCAGTGATGTTTTGGGGCTGTCGCTGGGCAACACAGACTTTCAACTCCCTCCAAAGATTTTCTATGGGGTTGAGATCTGGAGACTGGCTAGGCCACTCCAGGACCTTGAAATGCTTCTTACGAAGCCACTCCTTCGTTGCCCGGGCGGTGTGTTTGGGATCATTGTCATGCTGAAAGACCCAGCCACGTTTCATCTTCAATGCCCTTGCTGATGGAAGGAGGTTTTCACTCAAAATCTCACGATACATGGCCCCATTCATTCTTTCCTTTACACGGATCAGTCGTCCTGGTCCCTTTGCAGAAAAACAGCCCCAAAGCATGATGTTTCCACCCCCATGCTTCACAGTAGGTATGGTGTTCTTTGGATGCAACTCAGCATTCTTTGTCCTCCAAACACGACGAGTTGAGTTTTTACCAAAAAGTTATATTTTGGTTTCATCTGACCATATGACATTCTCCCAATCCTCTTCTGGATCATCCAAATGCACTCTAGCAAACTTCAGACGGGCCTGGACATGTACTGGCTTAAGCAGGGGGACACGTCTGGCACTGCAGGATTTGAGTCCCTGGCGGCGTAGTGTGTTACTGATGGTAGGCTTTGTTACTTTGGTCCCAGCTCTCTGCAGGTCATTCACTAGGTCCCCCCGTGTGGTTCTGGGATTTTTGCTCACCGTTCTTGTGATCATTTTGACCCCACGGGGTGAGATCTTGCGTGGAGCCCCAGATCGAGGGATATTATCAGTGGTCTTGTATGTCTTCCATTTCCTAATAATTGCTCCCACAGTTGATTTCTTCAAACCAAGCTGCTTACCTATTGCAGATTCAGTCTTCCCAGCCTGGTGCAGGTCTACAATTTTGTTTCTGGTGTCCTTTGACAGCTCTTTGGTCTTGGCCATAGTGGAGTTTGGAGTGTGACTGTGAGGTTGTGGACAGGTGTCTTTTATACTGATAACAAGTTCAAACAGGTGCCATTAATACAGGTAACGAGTGGAGGACAGAGGAGCCTCTAAAAGAAGAAGTTACAGGTCTGTGAGAGCCAGAAATCTTGCTTGTTTGTAGGTGACCAAATACTTATTTTCCACCATAATTTGCAAATAAATTCATTAAAAATCCTACAATGCGATTTTCTGGAATTTCTTTTCTCAATTTGTCTGTCATAGTTGACGTGTACCTATGATGAAAATTACAGGCCTCTCTCATCTTTTTAAGTGGGAGAACTTGCACAATTCGTGGCTGACTAAATACTTTTTTTCCCCACTGTACGCAGCGCGTGAGTTTCAAGTTTGGGGAAGATAATTTTCACCATAAAAATGCACCTTTATAATAAAAGCATTACATGCATAATCACATTTGTGGTCACTTTTGAGAATGTTTTCCTGCTAATGGCACATTCGCGCTTATAGCCTACTGCAGTTTGTGCATTGCTGTGCTTATAATGTGAAGAAATAGCCTAATAGTTTATCAACATTTAAAGCTAAACGTTCTCATCTGTTGCATCAGGCTCATTGCCTCATTGATGCTAGTGGTTGTATTCATTTGGGATTTATCGCATCCCACAACTGTCCCAGACTATGTCTGGAATATTTATTTCTCGCACAGAATAGGTCAACTTTTGTACCATGGTGGATAGTAGATTGACATAGGCTAGTGCTTTTGCTGTTCGTTAGGCCTACTCATCTTGTTGGCTGACGAAAAGTAAATGTGGACAGTTATTATAATATCTTCAATATGCGCCTCGGAATTGGATAAGGACGCATGCAGTTGTGTCCCCGATGTGTCGGTCTTCACTTGTAGCCTGTGAGAAAGACCTGATCACGTGATGGAGAGCCATGTGAGTGAGAGGTGCTTCGGCAAGCAGCCGGGAGAAGATAATTATAATTATTATATTCAGCCCAAGGGCACAATGGCCACTGGCTGCAAAAGGCATGGATGTTTTTAGAGGGCATTACGGCCACACAAAGGGGATGCAGCCGGAAATTCAAGGCATTATCAAGTGCTTGTCAAATTGTGAACAGCCTGCGCAAAAAACAAAGCAGAGCTCATGCCTTTCATGCAACTATTTTCAAATAATCATTAGAGTTGCATCATGCAGCCTTAGAATGTATTAAAAATCAAAACATATAGCCCAACATTTGTATCACAACTAAAGTTACATAAATAACTCTGAATTAAGCATATAGGAGTACCTGTTTTTTTGTTAACTGCTCAACACAGAATAGCCGCATGTGCGCACTCCCTCAAATCTATTTTATTCAGCTATTATGAATTGTATTCTTCATACTGTAAAATAATATAAAACAATGCCACGGAATTCTAAGCAAATCTTGTCTGCTAAATGAACTAGTGTAGCTCACAGCCATATGGCATAGCCAGATCAGGGCCTAACATCAGGACAACTCAAGAGTACGCTATTCTGTTCTTCTGAAATCAAATCTAATTTAATTTGTCACATGCGCTGAATACAACAGGTGTAAACCTTACCATGAAATGCGTACTTACAAGCCCTTAACCAACAGTGCAGTTAAGAAAATATAGTTAAGAAACTAAAGTAAAAAAAATATATATAACAATAATTAGGCTATACAGTGGGGAGAACAAGTATTTGATACACTGCCGATTTTGCAGGTTTTCCTACTTACAAAGCATGTAGAGGTCTGTAATTTTTATCATAGGTACACTTCAACTGTGAGAGACGGAATCTAAAACAAAAATCCAGAAAATCACATTGTATGATTTTTAACACCTGTCCACACACTCAATCAAACAGACTCCAACCTCTCCACAATGGCCAAGACCAGAGAGCTGTGTAAGGACATCAGGGATAAAATTGTAGACCTGCACAAGGCTGGGATGGGCTACAGGACAATAGGCAAGCAGCTTGGTGAGAAGGCAACAACTGTTGGCGCAATTATTAGAAAATGGAAGAAGTTCAAGATGACGGTCAATCATCCTCGGTCTGGGGCTCCATGCAAGATCTCACCTCGTGGGGCATCAATGATCATGAGGAAGGTGAGGGATCAGCCCAGAACTACACGGCAGGACCTGGTCAATGACCTGAAGAGAGCTGGGACCACAGTCTCAAAGAAAACCATTAGTAACACACTACGCCGTCATGGATTAAAATCCTGCAGCGCACGCAAGGTCCCCCTGCTCAAGCCAGCGCATGTCCAGGCCCGTCTGAAGTTTGCCAATGACCATCTGGATGATCCAGAGGAGGAATGGGAGAAGGTCATGTGGTCTGATGAGACAAAAATAGAGCTTTTTGGTCTAAACTCCACTCGCCGTGTTTGGAGGAAGAAGAAGGATGAGTACAACCCCAAGAACACCATCCCAACCGTGAAGCATGGAGGTGGAAACATCATTCTTTGGGGATGCTTTTCTGCAAAGGGGACAGGACGACTGCACCGTATTGAGGGGAGGATGGATGGGGCCATGTATCGCGAGATCTTGGCCAACAACCTCCTTCCCTCAGTAAGAGCATTGAAGATGGGTCGTGGCTGGGTCTTCCAGCATGACAACGACCCGAAACACACAGCCAGGGCAACTAAGGAGTGGCTCCGTAAGAAGCATCTCATGGTCCTGGAGTGGCCTAGCCAGTCTCCAGACCTGAACCCAATAGAAAATCTTTGGAGGGAGCTGAAATTCCGTATTGCCCAGTGACAGCCCCGAAACCTGAAGGATCTGGAGAAGGTCTGTATGGAGGAGTGGGCCAATATCCCTGCTGCAGTGTGTGCAAACCTGGTCAAGACCTACAGGAAACGTATGATCTCTGTAATTGCAAACAAAGGTTTCTGTACCAAATATTAAGTTCTGGTTTTCTGATGTATCAAATACTTATGTCATGCAATAAAATGCAAATTAATTACTTAAAAATCATACAATGTGATTTTCTGGATTTTTGTTTTAGATTCCGTCTCTCACAGTTGAAGTGTACCTATGATAAAAATTAGAGACCTCTACATGCTTTGTAAGTAGGAAAACCTGCAAAATCAGCAGTGTATCAAATACTTGTTCTCCCCACTGTATATAGGGGGTACCGGTGGTACCGAGTCAATGTGCGGGGGTACAGGTTAGTCAAGGTAATTTCTACATGTAGGTAGGGGTAAAGTGACTATGCATAGATAATAAACAGCGAGTAGCAGCAGTGCAAATAGTCCGGGTGGCCATTTCATTAATTGTTCAGCAGTCTTTTAGCTTGGGGGTAGAAGCTGTTAAAGAGCCTTTTGGACCTAGACTTGGCGCTCCGGTACCGCTTGCCGTGCGGTAGCAGAGAGAACAGTCAATGACTTGGTTGACTGGAGTCTTTGACAATTTTTTGGCCCTTCCTCTGACACCGCCTAGTATATAGGTCCTGGATGGCAGAAAGCTTGGCCCCAGTGATGTACTGTGCAGTACGCACTACCCTCTGTAGTGCATTATGGTCAATAGACTACATTTTCTTCATATCATGTTTCTTTAGACCTGTCTAAAATAAATAATGGATTTATTGTGATGGTGTAGGCTACATTCAATGGATTTATTATACTTTTTTTAAATGTAGATGTTCCAATGGTCTGCATCAGTGGCTTGTAGGCTATGCGGGGAAGCCAGGAGATGCTAAATGTGTTCATGTTATTTTACAGTCAATTACCGTGAGACCAGCAGTTATTTGCTTGACAATCACCGGCTGACAAAATTTAATGACCGCCACAGCCCTAGCGGAGATTTTTCCCAATTTCAACTTATTTTAGAAGAAATAGATAATTATTTAAGAAAAGTGCATGGGTGCCAATATATTTGTCCGCCCGCGACTGTATGCATCTGTGTCAGTCTTAAAACCATTTTCTCTGCCAATATTTGTGTTTTTCTAGCCTATTGTCCCATTTTCCCCCAGACTCAAGGTTAAATAATATGGGTGGGGTAACTCAAATAAACCGTCTTGGCTTATGTCAATATGTCTGCATTTGTCGTGATACGAAAGGCAAGTCTATGGGGAGACCCAGAGGATTGACGGCTAATATGAAGGAGTGGGCCAGGCCCAGATAGGGAGTGGGAGGGCTGGTCCCAGAACGGCTCTCTGAGATATGGAGCGCTACGGAGCTGTGAAACAGGAACTGGATCGTTTCCCTGCAGACACTCTCCTCTGACTCCCCCAGCTCTGCTCCAGTCTGTCACAGCCCAGGCCAGCCAGCCCTGCCTAGCCGGCCCCTAGCCCTGCCTGGCCTGCACAGCCTCTCACACACTGAGCAGCTTTGTATCCTACTTACTTACAGAGTGGGAACTTGATTGCCCCGAGATAAAACCATAAAATTACCCCCCCCCCCCCCCCCTTTGGATCAGAGGAAACTCCCACGAATAGAGCCACGTGAGAGACGGACAGTAAAGATAAAGCCGCAGTTAGTCTCACGTTATGTCTGAATTGGTTAAAGGAGGCAGAGAGACCGGATCAGTAGTTTTCGCCCATGGTCCACTTAATCTTGATTTGTGGCAATAACAGTTGGGAGTGATGGGCATTTTAAATGGGTGTGGACAGGCTCGGAATGTCGTTTCACATTTTTGAGTCACCTGCTGCCTTGTGCATAGGACAGACTGTCCCAAAGTTTGAAAAGATGCACTGCTGACACCATCTAAATTCAGTTTTAAAAAAGCACATACCATCGATACACTGCACTGAAACTCTCCTAATATCCAAACTCAGAAATTATACATTTACATATACATTCAAACAAAGTAGCCTCGAAACATATGTGCTGATTCTTATCAGAGCTGAGCTGATGACAGTCCTCTGCTTGGCCAAAAGGCCAACAGTCACACTCTCAAAAATGGTTTCAATACATTATTGATACCCTTGCCTATGACAGTGTGAAAATGTCGACTGAGTATTTGCAGCTTTTGAAGTTGAATTTGAGTGAAACTCTGCCGAAATGTCACGCCTTTCCATACTTTGCCCTTAACACCTTGGTTATTTGAGATGTGACATTTTCATGAAATGTTAATGAATCCGTCTGTACTAGTTTCCATCGTTTGGTGGCATGGCTACAAAACAAACCTGCTTTCTCTGACTAGACTGGTGGGCAACATAGCATGAAGCTTGCACTTGTTTGTTCTACCCAGATGGAAGCATGGCGCTCTCTCTCTTCCATCGGGACATGTCAGTACCAGGGTTCAGCACCACGGCTGAAGCTTGAGGAAAATATGCTAATCAACAAAGTTGCTTCCTAGTGGCTTTCCATAATTTTAACAAGAGTGTTTTCCTCCATTCCTTTCCCCTTGCTAATCATCTCCTCCTCCTTGGATGTGGAAAGTCAAGGAAATATGTATCTGAGACAATGCTGTTACTGTGGCCTCTAAACAAAGCAAGATTTATTCCCACGTTTCATTAAGCTACTTTAAAAAGGTCAAATAAAAGGTGTGTTCACATAAGAAAAGAGTATTACTGGTTATAAGAGTACAAGCAACAAAATGAAAAAATGCATCTCAAACAACCTAATTGAATACAAAAACTCATATCAAAATACAGTAGAACCAATCAACCAACTCAAGAGTCAAAATGATAGTCGAAAATACAAAACGACCACCCAAATGACAGTCTCAGTTCATCATTGAAACACATACTATTTTCTTTTCCATTTTCACCCCGCAGCACGTCTGCATGTTTTCATATTTTCATTTGATGATTAGCAGCGGGCCACCCTCTTCCTGAGGTGTTTGGCAGACATGTGGAAACAGTGAGATGCAGTGATAAGATTCTGATGTGTGTGGACTGAGTTAGACTCAATACGAGGGAGAGGAGAGAGTATAATATATCAGCTTTCTCTTGGCAATGTTATACCTTAGTGGGAATAACCCTGCATGAGGTCACCACTTAGAGGGAGGCCCACACTCACAACAATCGGGAGGGAGGGGAGGGATGTTGCTCTTCCCACACAAAGAGATGAACTACACCAAAAGTAGACTATGACTGAAAACATGGCTAATAGGCTACACAGACAGTCATACTCTAACTTTTCTAATTTGTTTGACTGAAAACAAAATAGAGATGAAATAGGGGACAGGGTAGCGACACGTTGATTTAGAGGCCCCGTCATCAGTTTTTGCCTGTGTGCGGGTCGGATCGCAGTGGAGTGAAGGGCTCCAGAGATGACTTCATCGCTGACATGTGCTGCTCAGGTCAAACATACTGTAGCACACCCAGCAGATGTTGAGAGAGGAGCACAGTGATCTAACTGCTTTGCAGCGCCATGGTCTGCTTCTAACGGGTGGTTAGGAAGGTCCCCCTGTTCCCCTGCTCAACTGGGGCATCCGCACCACCTGGCCAAACGCTCAGTTCCTGTCCGAGATGTAGTTACTCTGAGTGTATCAGTCTCTGAAGGGTGTTAAAACGTACACCGACAGACAGGCATGGGCCCATGCACACAAACCAACATAAAACTGAAGTACGTAACACAATCATACACACACATTTTAAGACTGTTCTTAACCAGTGGGTGTCAGCTGTAACCTTCAATCCAAAGGTTTTGTAACATTATATAAATTCTTACACCAAAGCCACAGGGGTAAAACCACCCTGCCTGATCCTCTCAGGATAAGGTGGCCAAAAGCATCGTAAAATAAATATCAGCTCTCTCACACAGACGCAACACCGCAAGTGCCACTGCGAGCCTCCGGTGCTACACTCTCAGACTTGATAAGGCCCACAATGACGGCCAACCTTTACTAACTGAAGCACCACGTCACCCAGACGGAGGAAAGCAGGCCTAAAGGCTCCTGAAGGAAAGGACAGGAGAAGAGGTATTTTCTTAACGGGAGACACAGTTTGTTTGGGTGGCAGTGCTGATATAATATCAGTCCTTACCATATGTTTCCTCCTCATAGCCATCAGGGCCAGCCTGTGGGGTTTCACCGCTCTTCAGACAGTTGTGGATGTAGGTGGCCTTCCATCTCGCATACTTCCTGTGCTGGATGTTCTGGAAAGGAACAAGGGAGGCAGGGGGGAGAAGAGGATGTAAATACAGAAATAATAAAGATAAGAGTTGTTGAATTAAAAGCAATTAGTTAAACAATGGAGACTGGATGAAAGGCTTAAGGTAGGACTATATTTATTTTCCTTACGGTAAAGGGATGGAAGGGGACGGGGTGAAGCAATAGCTGTGGTCTAACACCCAGGTCACGAAATTCATTAGAAGTTCTATGGACCTCATTTAAAAGTTCTCCCCCTGTTAATCTTATGTGTGGATTAATTAAATGAAAAGTCATTGGAGGAGCTTCCTTTGGAGAAAACAAAAACTTTACAATGTCCTAAACTACACATTCACTTCAGCCACAAGGGTTATTCCAAACAAGTAAATACAGGTGGTTTCTTTCTAAATGACTTAATACAATGAAGACATTTCTTTACGAACACACACAATCATAATTCTAATCTAAGTTATCCCTGGAGATAACAACAATATGTAAGCCTTGGGGAAGTTTAGGACTGACGATAGCCACGATTAGAGCTCACACTTAACAGGCTCACATACTCCCTCGATCACCATTCACTAAAAGTTTGGGTCCTCCACTCTCTGGTGATGAAATGTCCCTTTTTTCTGTAAGAAATCCAATCTCCCACAATGCATTGTGACGTGCTTTGTATAAAAAAAGTATATACAGTAATCAGCGAGCGGGGAACTGAGGCTCCATTGTCTGGGTTAGTGTTACAGAGAAAAAGCTCAGTTTTAAAGCAGCCTCTCCAATGAGCTCTCTGCAGCAGGAAAACGCGTGGCCCTTAGGGAGAGACGAGCCACTCAATGAAACATTGTCTGTTGTCTGTTGTCTGCCACAGGCCACTTCCCTCAGTAGAAAAGCCATCTGTAGCCATGGAGAGAGAAGCTTTAATAAGCCCACTGCTGAGATGGAGTCTATGGGTGTTTCTCAAAATGTATACTGCTGTGCACCGAGCACGCAAATTGGAGCACGGGAGGGTCGGAGTATGAGTCCAATTCAAAGTATGCGAAACAGAGCGTGGCGGGCACTTCTCAAATGTGTACTCCGTTTGTACATATTTTTAAGCATGCATCGACGCAAGCTTCAACAGAAAGTATGACGCAACCACGTAAAAAAATATGCAAAATGTATTGAATTCAATAGCGTCCATTATTTGAGAAAATACGGAATGAAATGTTGCCTATTCACATCTCATGTTGCCTGACTACAATATTTTATCTTGATATGTTAATAAATACATGCAGTGTTAATTTTGGCATGTTTACCTGCTAATTGCTAGCTAGCTACCCATGAAGAATTGACATCTATCTTGCCTGTTTAACTAGCTGGCTAGCTAGATTATTACGATTCAAATATCTAGCTGATAATTATGAAGTTAAACGTTTGCTTTGTGTAAATATTGTTTTGTCTATTGTTGCCATTGTCCTGGCTGGAAGAAGGTTCAGTGAATGGGGGGGTGCAGTGTGAGGTAATACAGTAGGGGGAGTGCGAGTGCTTCTCAAATGTATTGTTAAATGCTTTCTCCACACTCTCGTCCTCACACAAACGTAGTCAAGAGAACGTGGTCGTAGAATGCACTCGGAGCATGAGTGTGTGGACCACGGTAGGTTGCATATTGAGAAACACCCTATGTCTAGTAGTGTCTAGTGTCCTGGGCTATATGTTACAAGCTGTTTCCAGGAACACTCTGTTTTCCAGTCAGATCAGTTAGTAATCTCACGACTGAAATGAGTAGATCAAATAGAAATTCCCCAAATGATTGGTTCCTTATACATTGTGAGGACAGACAAAAATCTACCTGCGCTACATTTTTCCCTTCTCTTGGATTTTTGATGCTTTTGAGAGCAGCAGTAGACTGATGGAAGGATGGAAATGTGGATAGCCAGTTTACTTCACACATTATTGATTAATATGCTGAAATAAAAAGGTAGATTTAGTTACAGTAGTCTATAGGCCCTTTAAGGTAGGATAAGGGAATTTAATATACAGTGGGGGAAAAAAGTATTTAGTCAGCCACCAATTGTGCAAGTTCTCCCACTTAAAAAGATGAGAGAGGCCTGTAATTTTCATCATAGGTACACGTCAACTATGACAGACAAAATGAGAAAAATAAATCCAGAAAATCACATTGTAGGATTTTTAATGAATTTATTAGCAAATTATGGTGGAAAATAAGTATTTGGTCAATAACAAAAGTTACTCAATACTTTGTTATATACCCTTTGTTGGCAATGACACAGGTCATACGTTTTCTGTAAGTCTTCACAAGGTTTTCACACACTGTTGCTGGTATTTTTTCCCATTCCTCCATGCAGATCTCCTCTAGAGCAGTGATGTTTTGGGGCTGTTGCTGGGCAACACAGACTTTCAACTCCCTCCAAAGATTTTCTATGGGGTTGAGATCTGGAGACTGGCTAGGCCACTCCAGGACCTTAAAATGATTCTTACGAAGCCACTCCTTTGTTGCCCGGGCGGTGTGTTTGGGATCATTGTCATGCTGAAAGACCCAGCCACGTTTCATCTTCAATGCCCTTGCTGATGGAAGGAGGTTTTCACTCAAAATCTCACGATACATGGCCCCATTCATTCTTTCCTTTACACGGATCAGTCGTCCCGGTCCCTTAGCAGAAAAACAGCCCCAAAGCATGATGTTTCCACCCCCATGCTTCACAGTAGGTATGGTGTTCTTTGGATACAACTCAGCATTCTTTGTCCTCCAAACACGACGAGTTGAGTTTTTACCAAAAAGTTCTATTTTGGTTTCATCTGACCATATGACATTCTCCCAATCCTCTTCTGGATCATCCAAATGCACTCTAGCAAACTTCAGACGGGCCTGGACATGTACTGGCTTAAGCAGGGGGACACGTCTGGCACTGCAGGATTTGAGTCCCTGGCGGCGTAGTGTGTTACTGATGGTAGGCTTCTTTCCACTCCTCTCCTCTTTTGACCTCACCCTCTCACCGTCCCCCCCTACTCACAAGGCAGGCAATACGCTTGACCTCATCTTTACTAGATGCTGCTCTTCTACTAATCTCACTGCAACTCCCCTCCATGTCTCCGACCACTACTTTGTTTCCTTTTCTCTCTCGCTCTCCTCCCACACTACTCACTCTGCCCCTACACAGATGGTAATGCGCCGCCGCAACCTTCGCTCTCTCTCTCCCACTACTCTCTCCTCTTCCACCCTATCATCTCTTCCCTCTGCTCAATCCTTCTCCCTCCAATCTCCTGATTCTGCCTCCTCAACCCTCCTCTCCTCCCTTTCTGCATCCTTTGACTCTCTGTGTCCCCTATCCTCCCGGCCGGCTCGGTCCTCCCCTCCAGCTCCGTGGCTTGATGACTCATTGCGAGCTCACAGAACAGAGCTCCGGGCAGCGGAGCGGAAATGGAAGAAAACTAAACTCCCTGCCGACCTGGCATCTTTTCACTCCCTCCTCTCTACATTTTCTTCATCTGTTTCTGCTGCTAAGGCCACTTTCTACCACTCTAAATTCCAAGCATCTGCCTCTAACCCTAGGAAGCTCTTTGCCACATTTTCCTCCCTGCTGAATCCCCCCCCTCTCTCTGTGGATGACTTCGTCAACCACTTTGAAAAGAAGGTTGACGACATTCGATCCTCGTTTGTTAAGTCTAATGACACTGCTGGTCCTACTCACACTGCCCTACCCTATGCTTTGACTTCTTTCTCCCCTCTCTCTCCAGATAAAATCCTGCGACTTGTGACTGCAGGCCACCCAACAACCTGCCCGCTTGACCCCATCCCCTCCTCTCTTCTCCAGACCATCTCCGGTGACCTTCTCCCCTACCTCACCTCGCTGATCAACTCATCCTTGACCGCTGGCCATGTCCCTTCCGTCTTCAAGAGAGCGAGAGTTGCTCCCCTTCTCAAAAAACCAACACTCGATCCCACTGATGTCAACAACTACAGACCAGTATCCCTTCTTTCTTTTCTTTCCAAAACTATTGAGCATGCCGTCTTTAGCCAACTCTCTTGCTATCTCTCTCAGAATGACCTTCTTGATCCAAACCAGTCAGGTTTCAGGACTGGTCATTCAACTGAGACTGCTCTTCTCTGTGTCACGGAGGCTCTCTGCACTGCTAAAGCTAACTCTCTCTCCTCTGCTCTTGTCCTTCTAGACCTGTCTGCTGCCTTTGATACTGTGAACCATCAGATCCTCCTCTCCACCCTCTCCGAGCTGGGCATCTCCGGCGCGGCTCACTCCTGGATTGCGTCCTACCTGACCGGTCGCTCCTACCAAGTGGCGTGGCGAGAAGCTGTCTCCGCACCACGTGCTCTCACCACTGGTGTCCCCCAGGGCTCAGTTCTAGGCCCTCTCCTTTTCTCCCTATACACCAAGTCACTTGGCTCTGTCATATCCTCACATGGCTTCTCCTATCATTGCTACGCTGACGATACACAACTAATCTTCTCCTTTCCCCCTTCTGATAACCAGGTGGCGAATCGCATCTCTGCATGTCTGGCAGACATATCAGTATGGATGACGGATCACCACCTCAAGCTGAACCCTGGCAAGACGGAGCTGCTCTTCCTCCCGGGGAAGGACTGCCCGTTCCATGATCTCGCCATCACGGTTGACAACTCCGCTGTGTCCTCCTCCCAGAGTGCGAAGAGCCTAGGCGTGACCCTGGACAACACCCTGTCGTTCTCCGCCAACATCAAGGCGGTGACCCGCTCCTGCAGGTTCATGCTCTACAACATTCGGAGAGTACGACCCTGCCTTACACAGGAAGCGGCACAGGTCCTAATCCAGGCACTTGTCATCTCCCGTCTGGACTACTGCAACTCGCTGTTGGCTGGCCTCCCTGCCTGTGCCATTAAACCCCTACAACTCATCCAGAATGCCGCAGCCCGTCTGGTGTTCAACCTTCCCAAGTTCTCTCACGTCACCCCCCTCCTCCGCACACTCCATTGGCTTCCAGTTGAAGCTCGCATCCGCTACAAGACCATGGTGCTTGCCTATGGAGCAGTGAGGGGAACGGCACCTCTGTACCTTCGGGCTCTGATCAGTCCCTACACCCAAACGAGGGCATTGCGTTCATCCACCTCTGGCCTGCTGGCTCCCCTTCCTCTGCGGAAGCATAGTTCCCGCTCAGCCCAGTCAAAACTGTTCGCTGCTCTGGCACCCCAAAGGTGGAACAAGCTCCCTCACGACGCCAGGACAGCGGAGTCACTCACCACCTTCCGGAGACATTTGAAACCCCACCTCTTTAAGGAATATCTGGGATAGGATAAAGTAATCCTTCTACCCCCCCTTACCCCACCCCAAAGAAAGAAAAAAAAATATATATTGTAAAGTGGTTATCCCACTGGCTATAAGGTGAATGCACCAATTTGTAAGTCGCTCTGGATAAGAGCGTCTGCTAAATGACGTAAATGTAAAATGTAAATCATGCTGTGGGGATGTTTTTCATCGGCAGGAACTGGGAAACTGGTCAGAATTCAAGGAATGATACAGGGAAATTCTTGAGGGAAACCTATTTCAGTCTTCCAGAGATTTGAGCTGGGACAGAGGTTCACCTTTCAGCA